AATAATAATAATAATAATAATATGCCCTGTGAGTTACTTCCTATCATTGTAATCATCCCAATTTTACAGATGAGAGAACTGAGGGACACGGAGAGATTCGAACCCAGGCAGCCTGGCTTCGGAGTTTATGCCCTTCATGAAAATGGTCTCTCGAGCGGCGCCATCCAGTAGAACTTTCCGTGATGGTGGGAAAATGTCCTGTATCTGCTCTGTCCACTGTGCTAGCCACCAGCCACTTGAACTGTGGCCAGTGCAACCGAGGAACCGAAGAAAAAAAAAAAAAAAAGAACTGCAGGATAATAAATTTATATCGTTTCACTCGCTGAGTTTGTGGTAATTTGTTATGGCAGCAATTGAAAACTAATACACTGGTTCTTCTCTCTTTCCAGGCACATAAGAGAATTCTACTTCCCCAGCTTCATGCTATTAGGTGAAACCATGTGAGTATTCCTGAGCAATGAGCTAGGAATGGAAGTGCTGAAGTTGTTCCTGGGCCAAAGCATTTATTTCTTGCGTGGGACCATTCAGTTCTCTCTCTCCCTGCTGCAGTGATCAAGATGCCATGGGTTGCATTTGGTGCAGTGATAAGATGGTAGATGTCTCTCAGCCTGAGTCCTTGAATGACTCTGTGGAGAACCATTCCCTAGTGACTTGTCTGGGACACATACACGACCAAGAAATCAATTTTCATTGTATCATTCCAACAGAGCTAGCTGAACCTGATTAATGGAAGATCTCAATGAAGTGCAGGCACTAGCTTGCTGTTATATGAGGAAGTGCATCCCAGGAAGAGAGAACAGCAAGCGCAAAGGCCCTGGGGCAAGTGAGCTTGATTTTTAAAGGAACAGGAAGGAGATCAGCGTGGCTAAAGAGGTGCGAATGAGGGGGAGTTGTAGGAGGTAAGGTCAGTTATATGGTGGGAGTAGATCATGTAGGGCCCTGTAGGGCAGGGAAAGGGCTTTGGATTTTATTCTGAATGAAAGGATTTGCTGATGGACAGGACATGTGGGGGTGGGGGGAGCGGGGGGGAGGCAAATGCCCCACTAAATTGGCTTCAAGAGAGGATGGGGGCGCCTGGGTGGCTCAGTTGGTTAGGCGACTGCCTTCGGCTCAGGTCATGATCCTGGAATCCCTGGATCGAGTCCCGCATCGGGCTCCCTGCTCGGCGGGGAGCCTGCTTCTCCCTCTGACCCTCCCCCCTCTCATGTGCTCTCTCTCTCTCATTCTCTCTGTCTCAAATAAATAAATAAAATCTTTAAAAAAAAAAAAAGAGAGGATGGAAAAAGACAAGGAATATAGTTTTGCTGGAACAGAGAAGGCTTCTTAGAAAATCCCTTAAAGAGGGGCGCCTGGATGGCTCAGTTGGTTGAGCATCCAACTCTTGGTTTCGGCTCAGGTCATGATCCCAGGGTCATGAGATCGAGCCCCACCTCAGGCTCCACACTCAGCGTGAGTCTGCTTGAAATTCTCTCCTTCTCCTTCCCCCTCAGTCCCTCCCCCCATACTCTCTCTCTGTGTCTAAAGTAAATAAAATCTCTAAAAAAAGAAAGAAAGAAAGAAAAGAAAAGGGAAATCCCTTAAAGACTCCTAACTCCTGCTTCAGAGATGCCCCCAACCTGGACCCAGCAGAAGCCAAAGACAAGTTTCCCAGATACAGGATATTATCGGTGGCTTGGGGATTAAACAGTCACCTCCTGGAAGCTATTTCCTGCCTCTTTCAGTCTCATAAGTTGCATAGCAGAACCTTGACTGGAGGGCCTGTTCTCTTTCTAGTACCCTATGACATCATGGCCCATCCTGACTCTCCACTGGTGGAGAGGCCCACTTTCCTCTCGGGGAAGGAACAGGGTTGCTCTCTAGGCCCAAATGGACCCTAAGTCATATCCCTTCCTCTGAGAATCCCTCAAAGTACTCCCTCAGGGACTCTCCTGCAAAGATCACCCAAATTTGAAATGGTGTTGTCCATTGCGGCTGCAGGGGGCAGAGGTCAGGGTGGCAAGGAAGGTCCTAGGCCATGACAACCTTCCATGCCATAGTACTTACTGCTTTTTTTAGCTCCACTCCTCTGGCCTGTAGGTACCCAGCTGTTGGGTGGGAGTAGAATTCTGCTCAGCACCAAGTGATGCCATACCACTCTGTGGCTCCCAATTGGCTATTCTCTCAGGAAAGCGTTTAGGCTGCACTTCCAAGACCAGATGAAGCTCGGTCGGAACCCTCTTTGGATATTCACTCCAAGTCCCTTTATTCCTTTCTCAGAGACTATCCTAGGACCCATCAGGAACACAAAGTGCCTAAGTGTGGAACTTTCTGGAAATCTGGCACCGCTGTCCTTTCCTTCGGCGCATTTCCCGCCTTTTCTCTCCACCCTCCCTCCCACTGGCTTCCGGCCAATCGCCAGGCAACACAAATCTCACTAGCACGCAGTGATGTCATACCAGCTCTTCGACTGGATTAGGCGTTTTGTCGGGGAGCACAGCCGTCCTTCGGGTGCGTAGGTTTACTTCATCTGCCTCTCCGAGACCCTCCCAGCACATATCGGGTGCTGTAGCCGAAATTCCCCCAAGATTTAAGACTTTATTAGGGGACTAGCCGCCCAGGTCACAGGCCAAAAGTCCTGGCCCGACGCCAAAAGTCTTGCTGGCGTTTTGCCGCCTTGCGGGGTGGGGGTGGGGGGTGGGGTTGTCCCTCGGCCTGCACGGTGCTGGCGCGTGCCAGTGACGTCAGGGGCTCCACGGCGTCTGATTGGCTCGCTAAGGGACGCGCCGTCGAAGTGGAAGGCTCACCTCACGGTCGCTCCCAAATTCCTCCGTCGGCAGTGGAGGCGCCCAGGTTCGGCTCTGGTGCTCCGGCCCTGGGCTTGGGGCGGGGGCCCGCAGGCCGCGGCAGCCCCCGGCGCGCTCCTCCAGCTGCAGCCGCCGCAGAGGCCG